GAAACTATTGCAGCTCCAGACACTTCTTTTTCGGAGGACGTTAGCCCCTCGCCCTGTTGACTGGTGAAGATGAGCGTGATGCTCTCGAAGCTATTCCGCTATATTGGCTAGAATGACACCCAAATATTTGTACAAGTCCTGAAGTGGCACCACCTCCTCGCCCAACCTAAGTGTAGAGCAAAGCGTGTCTTCGGCCCCTAAAAACTGTACAAGCGCAGATTTTTTTTTTTTTTTTGCATTGAAGTTTAGGTTTTGCACTGCAGCCTCTGCAGTGCATATATTCAATAGCCGCTACATATCTTCCGCTGTCTCAGCGATTAAAACAATGTCGTCGGTGAAGGTGAGCCCTGGAAGCACCCAGTTCACCTCCTCGCCATCCTCTAGGAGGGTTAAAGAGAAGCCCACTGTTGAGTGTTGACTGAATTTTCCTCTCCTCCATCCCAGCCACGTAGAGCATGTAATAGAGCGGGGAGTGTGCACACCCCTGTCCAAGTCCCCTAGACACTATCATGTCTTTGGATTCTACCCCGTTCATTTCTGCCCTCACCTTATTGCCCTCATAAAGAGATTGGACGAGAGAAACACACTGTTGTGGCAGGTCTATTTGTTCCAAACACTGAATGAGCAGTGAATGAGGGACACTGTCATATGCTTTGGCAATATCCAGAAAGCAGCACAGTAATTGTCTTTGCTCCTTTCTGGCTACCTCGATGCACTGAGTTATTCCGAACAGATTGTCCTTAAGTCGACGCCTTCGACGAAAGCCTCCCTGCAGCTCAGTAAGAAGGTACCCGGCCTCTTCTGCCCATGCAACTATCTTCTCCTTGAGCATGTATGCGAGTGCTCTGTATATTGTGCTCGTAACCGTCAGAGGCCTGTAGCTGCGTAGATGTTGGCGAACGTTCTCTTTTTTCGGCATCAAGACTACCTTGTTGAGCCTCCAGCACCACCTAGTATCCCATGGAGAACTACGCCCGCCGTCTTGGTAGCATGAAAAAAACGATAGCAGCGGTCAGACCGGCGAAGAACAGATGTACACAAGTGGCCACGCGTTATGATGGAGGTGCGATGACAACCCATGGCCGCTTACTGCTGTGTAAGCAGCGAGGAACGATGATTGATCCTTGCGGAAACAACATACACAACTAAACAATGTTCATGATTTTTTTTTCTGTCTGTCCGCTAATTCACGAGAAGCGTTCTACATTGAAATTGGTGGCAACAGAAAGAGATATGAAGACGTTCTCGCAAGGATCGAGCCCACTTACAGCTATTGAATCGAATACTTTTTATTTCACAAAGTTTTACCTGTTTTTTTTTTTTAATTTGCATTTTTTCAGGTACACCTGTAGGGTCGCCCTGCTTTTATCTTTGTGCGAGAGCAGCCCAGTGCATGTTGACGACAGTAAGCCTGTGAATGCAAAAAAAATATATAGCACAACTTCACAAACCTATGTGACCAAACGCGTATGGTCGCACTGACCAACGAATAAATAAAAAATAATAACTTTCTTTGTTTCGCTTTCATTTAGGAAACAAAACACTTAACACGGCCAAAAACCAAGTTGAATGCGGTGCAAGCAATTCGTACATGCTTGTCTGGGGCCTCCCTCATGGCCCACGCCACACCAAAAAAAAAAATGGCCGCGTATTTACCCGAGGTCTTCCTTTATGGCTGTGCTCAACCCTAGGAGGACAAGGGGTAGAGACGTGGCCCATTTATCTGGTGTGGCGTGGGCCATGAGGGAGGCCTTGAGATGGCGATGGAACCTTTCGCCACGTGCCACGACGAGGTGGGAACCAGTGTAAGGTGGCTGGAGCGAACGGCGGACGCTGTCGACGCGCAAAAAAACGCGTAGCCACTGTTGTACCCTTCGTAGTTTGAAGGAGAGCTTCTAGGGGAAGTAATATGGCGGCGCAACCAGGAATGAACCACCTGTAGTAATTCACCAGGCCCAGAAAACGGCGGAGCTGTTTCTAAACAACAAAATATATAAAGCTAATAAGGAAAGGTTGTTCTAAAATGTTCAAAAAGATTCGCAACGTGGGTACGCAGAACTGAATACACAACACGGAAGCCGCGTTTCTTTGCTCTCAACTCGGGTTCGTTGCAGTAGTTAAATTCTACCTCGGCTGTGGCAAAACAGCAACATGATGCTGCGAACGCCCATTAAACCAATACTAGCAACGCCACCTTTTTTTTTTTTTTTTTGTAGCCGTGATTAGAATTTTGTTTATTGCCAAGAAACTTGGCAGGTAGTTTTGAAAAAGTCATGCTCTACAAAACTGAAGCTGATATGCAATCTGACTACAAAACATTTGTTGTTTGCGCTCTACTGAGGCCGGTGATATCTCATATCGATTTGAGCTCTTGCCTGAAAAATAATACACAGGGTATGATTTCCTTTGCAGGAAATCGGAGCTTGTCATCTATTAAAGCTTCTGACAGTCACCCGTAAAAACAACAACATTGACTACCACGTTTGGATGCGAAGATAACATGGTGGGCGATATGCTTCTACCGCTGAAGAGTAAAATCACTTGCGCCTTCGCGTCGAAAAAAAGAATTGAAAGTGTCCTGAGGAATAAAAGACACGACTTCCGAGTACAATACCAGCTATAGTGGACAAGGCCTGCGGATAACGTCATCGTTAGTGGCTCCGCGACGTGCCTTGAGGGGCAAACACGCAGAAGGTCGACAAGAGCCGCCGCAAAGCGCGGAAGTCTCCTCCGTCCGAAATCTGCACGCAGCGTCGCCGCGTGCAGGTTTCGCGTCAGTTGTCAAACGCTACGAGAAGCACTGGCGGCGATGCTAACACGACCTAGGTGGCACTGCGTGTATCCACTATTTAAAACCACTATTCGCCTCGGGATTCAATCGGCACGGCTCATCTGGTGAAAGGCAGTACTACACTGACTTGGAGTAAAATGAATGCTGCGAATGCAAGGCATAAGTAATGGGAGGCGCCAATGCAGACCAGCCTCGCGCACTAGATTCAACTGCGCGGACTCTGTACCACTGTCCGTGTTCTGTGATGTTAGGGTGGATGCTTTTTATCTCCACCCGCATTGAGGACAGATGGAACCACTACGTTTCCCATAGAGAACCGTGGATAAACAATGAGCACGATTCCTCTAAATTCGATGTGGGTCTCGAAGCGAATAGATCCGTTGCTCTCGGGAGGGGGCGCGATCGTCCGCAAGACTAAAGCGCCTGAATTATACAAGTACCGGCATCGTTTGATCGTGCCTCGGGCACTCTTATTGAACGCCGGCGACGCGTCGCCATTTTTGGCTCACGGCAAATCCCACATCCCAACTCGCACGCTCACTGGTCTGCTGTGAATGCCGGCGCAGCGCCGTCGAACCAAACTAGATGGGCAGCGACGCTCCGCCATTTTTGGCTCAAGCGCGTCCCACCATGCACCAGCTTGGCGGTGCTTGTTAATAAAATCCATCCAGCGCTTTACGAAAGACGCCACCATGCTTTGCTGGCTGCACCACCCAAGCGACACGACCATAAAAGCGGTGCTGTAACGTGTGATTACACCCGTGCTATGTTTGAATACATGCATTTAGTGTCACTAATTAAGTTACGCTTATTTAGCGTTATATATAACTATAACGCCACTGCTTTTATCTCGCGTGATTTCTCTTTCATTTTGGCTCATATTCACCTTCCCCGGCCAAAACTTCACCTGTCGCTTCTAGAGTAAAAGGGGGTGGTTAATTGGATTCGAGTTGAAGTCCTCAGCAACCAGCTTCTACGAGCGAAATTTAACTTTTCTGTTTAAAACGAAAAAGATTTCTCTGCCATTAGAAAGGGACACTAGGTACGTCCATGTCCCGATGGAGCTGGTCACGTGATATAAAACTCCCTCGAGGCCACATCGGCGGCCGCGGTCACAAGATGAGCAAACCGGCCCTGGGGTTAGTGCCGGTGTTGGCCGGGCGGCGGTCTTCGCGAAAGTGGGCCTTGTAATCTCCCAGCTTGCGGTCGCGAGCTTGTAACCGAGCAACCTGTGCACTCCGTCGGTCGAAGACATGGTGTGTGCGGCGTGCCACGGTCTGGTTGGCTCTCTGAGGGTGGGAAAAAAATTCGTTTTACGCCCACCTGGCTTTTCTCTTCTTTCGTCGTTGGGTTTGTGCAACGAAGTCGAGAGCCCGCACAAGCCGCGAATTCGCCGTCTATGTCGTCGCCACTGCTCTCGTTCTTGGACGACGAACGGTCTCTCCTTCGACTGTAACAGTGTGTCTTCGAACGACTTGAAATTCATAAGCCGACTGTGCTGTACCAGGTGACACTAGAACTGAAGCAAGCTGGACATCTCAGAGTTATCTGAGCAAAATACGAGACGTCAAATGTCATCCGGGTCGTGTTCAGAAGTTTACTCGGTCTGACGCCAGGGTAAGGGTTGTATACCTTAGCGTTCTAAAACATACCCGTTTCCAGCGTTCTTCAATCTCTGTTGTCGCGTGCCACAATCCGCCAGAGTAACTAGGATCCATTTGGGTAAGATCTGAAACACAGCGCCGTTGACTTGTGTGCGTGGTGTCATTATGGCGCCGCTGTTGGAACGATATCTAATGCTCTGGCTGCACCCATCAAGTCCGGTCTACGTCGACATATTGCCCAGACAACAAAAATTTCCTATTGTTTACTAATCGAGACTTGTTTGCAGAACTGAGAGGGACCTCCCCGAAAAACTCAAATTATATTTTTACCTAGTAAATGAGTCCGGATGATCAAAATATTGAACGTGGGTCATGCAATAAAGGACGGGGATTACAAATAGACATACAGCTCAGAATTTCGAGAAAAAAACGTTTCATGACCACTAGTCATCAATATTTCAATGCAATTGTACTTACCTACATTCAGATTCCTGTGTCAGCCTTAATTTAGTTTATTGAGAACCAAGTGTGAATTCCAATGTGCAAAAATTACTATTTTCTTTATTGTCCAAACAATATAGTCACATTTTTTTTTCAATTTCAAGGTTGTTCGCGACTTTGCCAAGCCAAGCGGAGATGGCCAAAAGTTGTATCACTTACTCCAAACAAAAGCTTCATTTTCATATAATTTGGTAAGTCTGGACAATTTCATTATACGGAAATATTTTTTGTTGTTTTTATTTTTTTACGTTTGTGGTAATCATGCCCGATACTGCATTTAAACTCGACAAATCATGCGCGGGCACTGAATAGTTTTACGAAAGCTTTCAGACTGGCTTGCCGAAGAAGCATTCTTGAAGTTCAGGGACTCCGTTATCTCAAAAAGTCCGGCGATTGCCCTCCCAAAAGAGGACTTTCACACGTCATCAAAGCAACTAGAGTAAGCAAGGTCTTCCATGACTTTTTTATGCGAAACCATTGAGTCATTGCGCCTGCTTGATTTTCCACTAAGGTAGTGACCTTTCTATACAGGCACGCAGCCAGGCTCACCTCGGCAGCGCTGAACTTCAAATATCTAATTGACAGGCGAGCCTCTTTACAGTATAGCTTGACTCCTAAGAGGGAAGTCAACTTCCAAAAAATAAATCTTAAATTCTCGGATAGGACAGCCATGTCACAAAACAAGCAGCCCCTACTAAAATAATACAAATATCTAGTTATTTGTACCTGTAGATAGAGTTTGCTCAGAAGCAATTTTGAAGCATTTCCCTGTTTTGAAACGTCTACCTCGGAACAGGAGCATTGTTCGAAATAGCTCAAATATCTCTGAAGACGTAAATATGGCGTCAATTGTTTCCTCCTTTTTGATTGCGGAGGGGGGGGGGGGGGGGTTGTGTGAGATACGCAGGCTATCTTGGCAATTAAAATGTATTTGGGTGTTCCGTGTTCATTTAAATATGCATTTGGACGTTTTATTCATTATTAGTGATTATTCTCCAAGGTTGGCTTCACACAAACACCAAACCTGCAACTTCGTTGTTATGTACAAACATTTTTTGTTTGTTTTTTACGGTTCATAAGTTTTCTTCTTTTGTTTTGTGTTTACCGTTTTTTATTAACTAAAAATTTCTGCCTGCAACACTGAAGTGACGCCAGCGGCCGACCTAGGTTTCGGAAGAACTTTTACAAATCGATTACAATGAATTTGGTTGCGTTTAATGAATGCAGTCGAAGCGCACTCGATACTCGCTCAGCGGCAAGAGACAAACGCTAGATAGTCTGTTTTCTCGACTTCCGGTCCGAGCCGCAAATATGCCTCCCAGTAATGTCAAGCCACTTAAAACCCGAAGAAATTCGAATATTCATATTAGTATGGTACGTACTCGCTTGCCGTTTTCGAAATTAATCGGTACTTCATAACATGATGGAAAAAGTAAAGCTCGGGTATTAAAAAATACATATAGCTTGGGTAGCTCCACAGATCGACAGAGTAGCCTTTTTAATGACTACTGAAAGGCAAGCTTTATTTATTTATTTTGGCCTATTAAACATTTCTTAAAACATTAAAATCTATAAAATGTTCTGACAACGAACTCAGTACGTACACTGAGCTACGCTGTTAGTGCGAACTTAACATCAGTGATTTGTCTACTTTTACTTTGATAAGATGCTGGTGGGCACCGTCATTTACCATTTAAAGGTAATTGTTTATTTACAAACACTAAGAAGTCAACTTCCGTTCAGAGGTCATAGGAACTCCGACTGAACACATTCCACCACTACAGTAGTTTTTATGAGAGTCATTCAATACTGAGTGAAAAACAAAGAAGCACGGTGATGACTTGTTTGCGCTTACATTGCCTTGGAGAGTACGCCATGAGACCACTTAAGGGGGTCGTGAACGTTGTGTGCTAAAGCACTGTTTCGAAAGCGTGTTTTAAGCACACATCGAAACTTGTTACTTGCAAGTGATGGTAAGTGCCGGCACGGAACTTATCATCACATTGGCAACTAATGCGTATACAAATATTCGTCGATGGATTGAATCCTGACGAGTGCATACATTCGATTATCGCAGTGCTCGTGTTGAATGCTGGGTTTGGCTGACGGGCTTTGGGCTCCGAGAATGTATCACAGTGAAAAGGCAGATAGATTTCGAAGAAAAAGAAGAACGAAATAGTTTCGGTATATTTCTGAACTTCCGTACCAGAAAGGAGGCTTTTGAGTTTCTAGACTTTATTTTGGCCAACTAAATGATATACGATTAGAAAAAGTACACTTTAAAATCATTTATCCTAGACCAAAAGTTATTTTATGGCCCCTTTAAAGTGGGGCCCCATAATACGCCACCGCTTGAGCATGGTAATGTGTGAGGCGCTGCCGATAAAGAAAGATTGACGTCAAAGAGAGGGAGAAAAAGAGAGACATCTGAACCCTCTGGCAAACATAAAACATGCCTCAAATGTGTTTTTTTTTTTTTTTTTTGCGTCACCTTAATTTTTTTATTAACCAATAGAACTTCTTTTCGCTCTCAAGAAGTAAGGGTTTATTCACATGGTGCATTTTTTTAACGCGCAACGGTTTAACGAAACCAAAATTTCGCGCAATCGACTAGTTCACGCGTCGAGTTAGACGAGCGAAAGTTGTGATATAATCGTTCTAAGAATTTCGCCAAACCTTGTCACCTGTACCGGGAATCTTCAAAGCAAACAATATGAAGTACGCACAGTGTGAAGACACAGTCGGCTTTGTGACTTATTATCACGCGATGAACTTCCTCGGATTTGGCCCACTCGATTTACGAGGCCTCCCAAACGTTGAAAGACCGGGAACGACAAAGCGCAGGCGGATAGTCTCGAAGTGTATCTAATCATGTCCTTTAATACCTGACACTGTGGTCCAGGAAATTAAAAAGAAAACTTTTATTTTAAGGAACAGACACAGAAGGGAGCGTCTCAATCTCAGCTAACTGGTTTATTTCTCAAGCAACGTATGTATATGTACTCATACAGTCACTCTCGCCGACCTTCTATACAGACAGATCTCCCTTGATGAAAGAATTGTCAAGTACAAAGGTAATACATACTCAAAAAAAAGACCAAATGGTCAAGCCCCAAAAAAACATCATTGTCAACCACCTTCTACGCAGAGATCTCCTTTGCTGTAAGCATTTTCAATTACAGAGAACATTGAATTAGCGTGAGGGAGGGACGTACTCCTCCCATAAGAATGACTGAGTGCGCCACGCGGATGGTGGCACGGGCTTCGTGTGTTTTCTTCGCCGTCTTCTAGGATGGCGCAAACACTCGGTCTTCCTGTAACTCAGGCGTTCTAACTTTAGCTGTTCTCACTTCCACTACTGTTGGCATCGAAAATGGCAAGACGTTTCAGTTTGTCGCCTGGGGTTGTAGATTCGTAGAAACGTTGACTGCGCTGTTGCCCACGGATGTGCTCGATATGATAAGGGTTGTTAGAAAGTCGCTGCGTGACAACATTTCAATCCTTGTACTTCGGAAGTAACTTGCGTTATTCACCACTCACCGTCGGTTCATGCTGAACTAGGACGATGCCCCCAGGTTCAGACGTCGGTGCTTGACGACAGTTTTTTTTTGTGGCGGCGCTTTTTTTTCTCTTGGTCAAGTCAGATGGCTTGGATAGCAGTCGCCCGTCGACTTGACATGCCCTCGTTTGTCTGAGTGAACGCGTCACGCAATGTGTCGTCTAGATGATTTCTGTTTAAGCGTCTTGACTTGTAGCTCAACAACAGTCTGAAAGGGGCGCTCTGTATCGCGCTCTGATACGTGTTGTGAGACTCCATTGAACGAGATCAGCACCTTCATTCCAATCTTTACCATCCTTGGTCTTCCTCTAGGTAGCAATCGCTAGAGTGATTGCCGTGTTGAACCAATCAACTTTACCATTCGCATGGAGCGTAGCCGTTGAATTCAAAACGTGAGCGATCCCGGCTTCTTCGCAATATTTCTTGAAAGCTGTTCTAGCACACACCACTCCTCAGTCCGTGACTAATGGGGCTGATGGTCCAAAAACTTCAAGGATGTGTCGCAAACAACGTGTAGTCGCTTGAGCTCCTGTGTTCCTAACAGGCGCGAGCATGACAAACTTTGTGAATGTGTCTATGGCTACGGCAATGTCTAAATTTTTGAAACGGGCCTAAGCGGTCGATATGAAGAGTGTGGACTTAAAAACCGAACTTGTCGGTTTAATGAAGCATGCCCCGTGTCTTTCCTGTAGAGCTCGTTTGGTACAGGCACTCTGCGCACGCAGCCGCATACATCCGCACATATCGCTTCGTTCCTGTGAGCCAGTATTTTTCGTTGATGAGATTCACTGCCTTGTCTTTCTCGACATGTCCCCATTCATCATGACAACGCAATACTACCTGCCTTCGCAATGGTTTCGGCAAGAGACACAGCAGCCCCTTTGAGTTCCTTCAGAAGACAACATTCTTCTGAAGTTTGAACTCTGATTGGATGCGACGCTCACCACGGAAAGTGCAGGTCTTTGTAAGACTTGTTTGACGTGGTTCACAACGGCATCCAGTCATGTTTTCCGGTCATCACGGTAGCGCAAATGTGAAGACCTTCGTACTCTTTCATTTCTTCTGCTGGTCAAATCGGCGACCGACTCAGGGCATTAACGTGCTACATAGACGCTGCATTCCTGTGAACAACAATGAATGTGAATTCCTGCAGTCACAGCCACCAGCGTACCGCTCGGGGCAAGGTTTCACGTTTGCTCATTGATCCTTGAAAAGCGCTTCAATCTGTAACAACAGCGAAATCATTGCATGAAAGGTACGTTTTCGCCGTCCTACGGTCCACACAATATGTGTTTTCAGCTCGTAGAAATGATATTGCTGCCTGGCTTATGAGGTTCACCGACTTCCTTACACCACAGGGTGGAAGTGACCATCACTCTGGAGTGGTAGCAGCATGCCCCCCCCCCCCCCCCCTCTCCAGTATTTTTTGCTGGCGTCAGTGTGGACTTCAGTTGGAGCTTCATGGTTGTAGAGGACCAAGAGAGGACCATCTTGTAAGGGCTGTTTAAGGACACAAAACGCAGTGTCTAGATTGGTGGTTCACTCCCAATGTGAACCTTCCTTGAGATGCTTCCTCAACTGATGTGCAAGCGTGGCTAAATTTTTGACTAACCGTCTGAAGTAGTTGACCAATTCAAGAAACATTGTTGGGACTCATGAGCTCGGGGGGGGGGGGGGGGGGGGGGGGGTGTTGGAAAAACGATTAAAGCTTTCAGTTTGCAATTGCTGAAGCTGAGTCCGATCGCTCCGACCTCGAAGTCCAGGTACGTGGCCTTGTCGATCATATAGTTATATTTCATGATATGTAGCGTGAGGTTCGCAGCTCGTAACACCTGAAAAACTTGCACGAGATGCGCAAGACCCTTATCAAAGTCTTTGGAAGAAATAAGGACGTTATCTATCTTGTTTAGAGCGAAACCATATCGTAACTGCTTCAAGACCACATTCATCATGCGTTGGAAGACCGCTGGAGCGTTGATGAGTCCCAAAGGAATTTTTAGAAACTCGTAGAGTCCTATGGCGTTAA